ACGGCCCGGATCGTCATTTCTGTTGGTCTACTTTTGTCAACTGTGCACACGCTTGATGGGCTGAACAACGGGATTTATTGGTTGGGCTGTAGTCGACCAATAACAGAGTCGCACACACACACACACACACACAAACACACAAACACACACTTCGATCGACCCTAGTCGAAAAGGTTGAGTTTATCGCTGACCACAGTCATCATAGTTAAGCTGTCAATCAAGTTGCCCCCGCATGGTTTCAAATTACCTCGTTGACTTCATCAGATTTGCCAGGTCCGAATGCTGATCAAGCCTCCGACTAATGTCTGGATGAGGTTTCCGAATCTCCTATTGAAGAGAAGGTGGGGGGGGGGGGGCAATTTTGTCGTCTTCCTCAGTCCCTTAAACCCTAAAACCTATAACATATTTCTGTCGTTTGTTTTACGCGTACGCGCATGCATGTGTTACAGATTTATGCCCTTTCCCTGAACAACCACGTAGTGTAATGCTGACAATAACGGATCATGATCGATCGATATAGGCATCGCTTTTATCCAAATTCACACCCAGTTAGTTTATTGCTTGAAGATTATATTCCTGTTTCTCTGTTACCATTCCACCATAGAAGCACCAACATCAATTCTACCCTAAAAGTACCGAACAATGTAAATGATCATTTTGACCGAGAGGGAAGCAGTTATCTTAAGAAAACCAACTGTTTTGAAATAGCACAAAGAGAGCTAACAACTATGGGGTTTGGAAAGAGGCATTATTCTCTCTGGCTCTTCTCAATGAATTCGGAACCGGAGTAACGGAAAATTTGTCCTGTATGCAGGGAATGCACTTGGTGTGTATTTTTTTCGACCGTACCAATTACGTGAAAACTTCAAGGTCAATTTGCATTCGTTTCCAACTTCCGACTTCTCATGTTCACTATCGCGAACCAATATCGCATGCATTTTGTCATAGCCTGACAGTTAGTTCGTTACACTTCCGTAAAAATTACTGACGAATGTTTGTTTTATCCCAAACGTCCAAAAGTATGGCTACAAAAGAATTTAAAATTCACTGAGAAAGGAGGGTAATACTAACTTACATTAGTTCATAAAATACTCTTTTTTATCACCATGTATAGTAGAATACTTGCAAACAGATGCATTCCTCACAGAACAGTACTCAGCTGACCCTAATGCATCGTCTAGCGGTGGTTAATCTTCTGTGATGGGCAGAAGAATAAAAACGAGGGCAATATTATGAGCAGCGATGAAGCCACGTTCCAAATACAAATGATAGATGGAAGGATCGGACTATTCAGATTGAAGGAAAAGGGACACAGACAAGGGAAACGTGCACTGACCATGAAAATGGTGGGGTTCTTCTATGGTGAG